AATCAGCTAATATGCATTCCCGCTACACATGTGGCCCTTGTGTTTGCACTGGTACTTCACTGCCCGCTCTTCCCTTTCATATTTGAAATGAGTGTGGCTGGGGGTGCATTGGAAGGAAAGCGGATAATGGGTTCCATGTTTTCACTGACTTGCTTTCACTGGCATGTTTTCCACAGGTCCATGTCTCTGAGCACCATTGCAATCCTGAATTCGGTCAAGAAAGCTGTGGAGTCGAATAGCAGGCGTGGTCATCGGAGCATAGGAGTGCTGCCTTTCACGCTGAATTCCGACAGCCTAGACAAAACGCGGCATCGGGGTGAGTCTGCAGGCGCTCCTGGCGGCTCCCAGAGCACCTCAGTTTCCGTCTCCTCGTAGTGAATTCAGACTCAGACACAGAACAAGGCTCCTTCTCCTTCCTTTTAAAAGTTTCTGTTTTACTGTCTTCAAAACAAAAAACTTTGAGGGTGTAGGATTATAGGTATAAAACAATGCATATTTGTAATAAAAGATTTGGAAAAGATTGTGAAATAGAAGACTCACCCATAGTAGTGAGTGATTTTTTTCTTCTACTCTTCACACACATTTGGTTTTATTTATAAAATTGTGATCTTAGTGTGCACTCTGTTCCATAACCTGCTCTCCTACACATACTTCTAATAACAGAGTGAAGTTGTTCATGAACCTTTCTTTCAAAACTTTTTTCCAATAATTATGCAGCATTGTGTCCTGCGGAAGTACCTACTTGTGTATTACCACCCTGTTTTGGGAAATGACGATGTTCTTCAACTTTTTGAAATGAGGTCACAATAAACGACCTTGTACACATGCCCTTATACATGTGTAATCTTAAGCATTAACCCCCCGCACTCCATGTGCGGTGGCCGTGAATGTTCTAGAATTGACTCAGTGTTGCCCTCCTGCCGTGGCCTGGGAGTGGCGCATTCCTACTTAGAGACGCTGGCTCTGTAAGTTTCCGCGTTCTCTGTTGAGCTTTATAGGCCAAAAATGGTTATGGTTTTAATTTCCATTTCTTTGCATTCTAGTGAGAATGGGCATTGCCTCTCATTTTTATTATTTTTAGCATCTTTCTGAATCACCTCTTTATAAGAACACTTTATGTGGGATATCAGCCTCATCATGTATCTTCCAAATGTTGTTTCTCATTTAGTTGTTTTGCTCTTTGATATTGTTTTGGGTTTTTGAGCAGATAAAACTTTCTTGTCTTGTCGCAGCCTCTTCGTGCAGCTTGGAGCAGGAGTCCAGTGGAGGGATCGACCCTGTGGCCAGACGAGCCATCAGCACCCCCGAAAGTAAGTGGCCAGGGGGTTGCGCTGGCTTCTGTCACTCCCCTGTGATCTGCACATCTGTGAGAGGTGCCTAGGAGAATTACTAATTTAAAAGCACTCAGTTGCCCTTCCTCTGTAGTTTATAACTATGCGTTCTGTTAACAGCCTAGACAGGGTGACTGTCAAGAGGTAGTTCATCTCTACAAAACCAGTAGGAACAATGCTGCCCAGCTCCCCCACTCTGGCCCACCAATGGTGCTCGACAGGAATAAAGTAGTTTTGCTAAGTTGAAATAAGTACTTTTCAGAGCTAGATTTTAACAAAATCTGAGGGGTGATTTGGCAAGTCCTTCTTCCTGCTGTAACTTGGGCAGCAAAGATGCTTCTGCCTGTGATTCTAAGACTCTACAAGCACACAGGGGAATGAATCTTAAGAGCTACTGCATCGGTGCTTTTGTGAAGGTCAGAGACTTATTGCCTGGACATCCACAGGCTATCAAGCAGGAAGAGAAAGGGGAACTTCAATTGTAGCACATGGGGAGGCCTCCCAGAAAGAGGAGTAAACTGAATGGAGCTGTGTGAATGGTGGTGCTGAGAACACAGTTCTACATCATCTGTTAACGAGCTCTGGTAGCTCAGGCACACAGCCCTGCGGACGCACTGCTGCACTTGCAGACACAGACCGGAAAGGTCTCGCCGGTGCTCCTAGGAAGGGTACAGTGTAAGGGGGACATTCAGACTGTGCAGCTTACTGCACAGGAGTTCTTGCAGAGGGGACAGCAACAGCAGGCTCTGCCAGGAGAGTCAGCAGCCTGCACAGGCTCGGTGCTGACTGGTGTGATAGCAGCTCCTGCAAAGTGGTCCGGAGCACAGAGGAGGTGGAGGAAGACACTGGGAGAGGCCTCACCACCTGGGTCTCAAAGGGGGCAAGGCATGATGTAGCAGGCTCAGGAGAGGCCTCCAGGTAGAACGGCCCATGCGGACCAGGTGTGCACACCGGCGCCTGCTTGGAGAGTGCTGAGAGCTGGAGGCCAGTGGCCTGTGGCTTACATGTGCACTGGGCTGTGAGGGTGGCAGGGGTTGGGCTGCACAGTGGCTGGGTGCCCAGCTCAGACAGCATGCCCTGAGCCAGCAAGGGACTTTGGCAGAGCAGTCACCTTACCAGATCTTGAAACCAATTTACTCTAAGTGACATGGGGGATAATACCTCCTCCGTAACAATAGCTGCTAACCTATCTTTAGCACTTAGCTTGTACCAAGCAGTGTGTGAAGGACTTAAAAGGATCTCATCTAACCCTGACGCCTGTCTGAAGGTCAGCACATTTGTATCCCATTTCAAAGGTAAAGGGACTCGAGGTTCTTAGAGTAGTTCCCACAACCAGTAAGACAGAACCAGAACTCAAACCCTGGAGGCTGTAAGCAGGTGCCCGCTGTGATGGGTCAAGGGTGAGCCTAGTGAAGCCCCCCGGTGAAGAAGCAGAGGATGTGGAGACGGGAGGAAGGCAGAGGTGCTGGGCCTCAGTTAGGGAGCAGAGGGGGCTGACAGCTCATGGCAGTGGCCTCCAGCTGCCACTGGGGTGACTGCAGGAGCACAGGGACCGGACCGAGCTGGCAGTGTCACATCCTCAGGCATTCAGGGCAGGGGTGACGGGCACTGCAGGACTGAGCAGGGCTCTGACATGGAGCCAGGGCTCCGGGCCTGTGGGTAGTGACTGCAGCCTTGGGGTGGGTAGAAACCAGAGATCGGGCACAGCGGTGCTTAGGCACCCCTTACACAGTGTAAGCAGGGGAGTGTCAGAAAAAGGTGCGAAAGGCGGTCTCTTCAGCATCCTCACGTCCTACAAAAAGGTCCAGTGAGGCCTGACAGGAGGCTGTCACTGTGGAAGACTGAGCGAGAGCACAGCAGAAACGCTGGCTCACCTCCCTCAGTAATTCACTGGACGCAGGTCCCTTCCCAGCCCTTCGCTAACCCTGCTGTCTTCCCCTGCCCAGAGCCCATCGCCGAGGTCACGTTTGAAGCAGGAGTCAGCTATATTGGCACGCCTCGCACTCCTTTTCCAGTCAAAGGCAAGTTCCCTTCCTGGCAAACACCCGTTAGCCACTCTGGAATCCTGGCAAGTCTGATTTTGTCGTGTTTCACTCCCTTTCAGAGAAAATTGGAGCCCAGGATCAAGGAAATGACATTTTATGTTTATCATTACCTGATAAACCGTAAGTTACCAAGAGTTCCTTTTGTGGTAGGTTTTATCAGCTTTTTCTTGGCTCCAGAATGACTTCTCTCTTCTTTCCCTAGGCCTCCGCAGCCTCAGCAGTGGAACGTGAAGTCTCCGGCCAGAAACAAAGACAACCCAGTCCCCAGTAGGCGGTCACTCCGGAAGAGCCCCCTGAAAACAGCCAACTGAATCAGCGTGTGTTGGGGCGTGTCGGCGTGGTGGGAGCCAGGACAGCCGGGTTCTGCCTGTGAGCTGCCAACCTCTGCAATGTCTTATGAGATATATGGTAAAAAAAAAAAAAAAATGTGCAAGATAATAGAGAAATGCCTTAGCTATTTAATATTTTAACTTTACTCCACTCGACAGTATCAGGTCCATTGTGATGATCTTTAAGGACTGATTCCGGTCCTTAAGGAATACCACACATTCGCTTTCTTTAACCAAATGCTTTACAGTAGTTCTCCATGTCTGATGACGAGATTTTGGTTGTAATATTTTTTCTATTATTTATGAGCTGCACATTCCCTTAAGAAGCGTATAGCTTTTTAAACAATAAAAAAGGTTAAGCATAAATACAGCCTTCTAGTATTCTTTGGCAATAGAATTTTTCTGTTTTTTTGAACATGGCCTTTGTTAGTATTTTAATTTACATACAATATTTAATAATAATAAAACCAGCCCTGAATGGAGTATTGTCCAGTGTACCAAATGGTTTCAGGTTCGATCCCCGGTTGGGGCGGTACAGAAGCAACTGATTGATGTCTCACTCTCCACTTCCTCCCCCACCCCCACACACCTCCTCCATCCTGCCCTCTCTCCCTTCTTTCTCTGAAGTCAATAAACATATCCTCAGGTGAGGACTTTAAAAAGTTATTAATAAAATGAAATCTTCCCTGTTAGGGAAAAACGACTATCTATAAGATTCAGTTCGTCTGTCCACTGCCTTTGGCCCCCGACAGACACTGCTGCCTCCTGACAGCACACGTCCCTCCGTCCAAGTGTGTAAACCCAGTCCTGCTTCTGGAGACACTGCTGCTTGTCCCTGGCCTTGAACAGCACCAACACTGATTTGTGTTGGTCTGCCAAGCACTGCTCCCACGAGCGGCATGGCTTTAGCCTGCTGTTGGTGTCACCAGGCAACCTCCACACATGCATGGCGTGTTTTCTCCAAGAGTGACCAGGAAGAGATTCAGTGGGATCAGTTTTTATTCCCAGGACTACAGAAGCAAAAGAAAGGGTTACTGTGTTTTCGATGTAAACGTGGGGTTGGCCTGGGGGTTCTATCACTGTGACCCACCCCATAGCCCTCCCGTTTGTGAGCTGTGGCCCATGTGGACACACCATCAGTAGAGGGACTCGCAGAGCTGCTTTGAGGGGACACACTCATTTCCCACTCCTGTCAGTGGTGGTAGCAGTCTCTCTGAGGGCACTTACCTACAGAAAACGCTAGGAAGAAGGCGTAAACCCAGCACGAGAGGAAATAAAGAGACATAATAAGGCAATGTCGATTTTTTTAAAAACCTTTTATAAGTGAGGTTTAACAAACATCAACTTACAGGTGTGTTAGTACAAGGCTGCCGCATCTATGTACACAGGAGCCACACCAAAGGCCACCATAGCCTCGCACAGGCCTGGAGTCTTAGTCACATCACATTTGGAAACACACGAACGTTCCTTTGCTGTCCTGATTTTTACAGTAAAGGCAGCCACTTCCCGGACTCCACATTCCATGACTCTCCCATCAGACCCAGGCCACAGGGCACTAGGGCCTGAGGTTTTAGGGCATAAGAAGGGGGCAAAAAGGCCACCCTATCACTGTGCCAACCAAGATCCCCTCAGATTAGGAAAAGGGGCAGCTATCCCTTTCCGCCAAGAAGAGGTGAAGATGAAGGGAGAGCCCTATGGTAAGCATTCCAGACACAAATGCAAAGGACGGTGGGCACCACTGAAGGTGCGAAGAGTTGCCTCGGCTGCTGCCCACCATCCCACAACAAATACTTCACACAGCTTAGACTCTAAGTCAGTGTAGGTCTCAAGTCTCAAGTTGTAAAAACCTCAAAGTACAAAAAATTAAGACAATGCAAGTTTAATTCCAAGATGCCTATGTTCTTATATAAAAACTATTCTCTAAGCACACAATGGAACCCAAGGCATTCCTCTGACAAGCTCCTTGCTTCAAATCACATTATGAGTTAACACAGCATCATATCTGAGGCTAAGAACATCTGCTCTTGAAGAACAAAGGCTTCTGTCTCTGACGTCCCCCACAAAGCATGCAGTGTTGTGGGCGGAGCTAGAAAGCTGCCTTTGGGGCTCTTCACCCTCCTCGCCCTGGGCTCTGGCCCAGCGCCCTACCGACAGCCTACCAGGCCAGCTGGGGCGGGGCCACCACACTGCACTGCGAGGTGAGACAGAGCCTGCGGTGCCTTGGGGCTTTCTTCCTTCGTCAAGAGGAATTCATTTTCTTTAAAAAATATTATAGTTGACAGATTTGATTCAAAACTGCCTTTGGCCCCGGACAGTCTTATGAACTACACAAATAAGTTAAGTGAATTAAAAAAGCCAAACAGCAGTGGCTTCTGTTTCATGAGCCACCCACAACCAAAAAGGGCTCAGCCCAGGGAATCCCAAGGCTGGGATGCCACAGGGAGAGGATCCACCTTTCCTGAAGTGACAGGTTGGAACTGTCCTGGGCTGAGCCAAGTGCCTGTGGGACACGAACAGGACATTAAAGCCAACCCGAGCATGGAGCCAAGGCCAGGGCGTCAGAGGTGGAGGGGCAGGCTGGCTAGCCAGCCTCAGGAGTTAGTAGCCAACACCCATGCAGGCGGCAGATGCCTCAACCTGGGAGCTGGCTAACGGTTTGCACAGGTTGTGGCTGAGAGCTCCGTGTGTTTTTTGAGAGAGATGGCAAACATTCTGACATTACTTAATCGGAATTTTTAAAGGTTGCCTAAGCAACAATGGTCTGCTGTATAGATGGCGCAAGTTCTCTTCTGAAAACTGCCAAAGCACGTGTGGGAAAAGGAATGTTCCGGTAAGCCTCCTCGAGAGGAGTCCTTGGGTGAAGATACTCTTAATGCTGACATTTTCCAATTTAACTCGAGTAGCTTGGCACTACTACCAAAGGTTGTATGTTTTCTTAAAAAAAATAGGTTATCTAACACTGACAACATATTTACAGTTTAAATAGAAATTTTCTTTTCAATAACCAAAATACATGTTTAGCAAAAATTTAGAATATAAAATTCTGTAAAAGAAACACTCATAGAAAAGCAGAACGTTCCTTGAGTACCATTTCACACTGAGGCTCAGGTGGAGGCTCTCCTCCAACACTGACACCTCCGTGGGCGAGCAGGGCTCCTACAGGTAGGGAGGCCCTGCTTCCAACAAGCAATTTGCTTTTCTGGTTTGGGTTGGTCTGTAAAATGCTGACCCAGGAAGATTCTCCAAAATGGACACCACAACACTGACCGACAAAGCCTTTAACGAGAAATGGAGCAGGACCCTCCATGGGCCACAGAGCCCCTCGAGGAAAATTCTTTATTTATGTGGCTTGTTAAAAAGTAAGAAAGGAGTAGCAGTCAACTTTGGCCAAAACAAAAAGCTTTTGCACGAGTGTCCAGCGCTGTCCAAGGGCACTGCACTCCGAGCTGCTCCGTGCAGGCGTTTCCAGCGGAGGTGGCGTGTGTGCCCGGCCACACTGCCGGCTTCAGATCACGAATGATGACTTGTGCCTGAAGTCGCCCTGCAAAGCCAACGCCAAGTTAAAGCACAGCTGTCCTCCACCAGTCGGGGGCCAGTGGGACGTGGGGACGAAAGTGGAAGTCAAGTCCAGCGCCCCATTCATTCCCGGAGGACAAAACTGGCGAAGCAAATCAAATGAATCATCCTGAACAAGTGGCATCAAAAGCTTAGAACTCTAAGTGCCCTCAGCATGGATGTGTTACTGTGAACGCTGAGGAGCTCAGGGTCTGGACTATAACTGGGAAATCTTTTTTCCTAGGGGACCCAACTTGGTTTCCAAGGAGGAGTGTCACTGTCCCTGCTGGGAACACCTTGACTTATAGGTCTCCTACGTGATACCTGCTCGGTCCCCTCCTCCGTACCTCCTCATCTGTCCTGATATAGTTAACTCCATCTGGCTTCCCCGGATTCTTGTAACTGTGAAATAAGAGAAGAGGGGAGTTCAGTGATTACTGCTTACCGTATTAATGCCAAATTGAACTTTATTTTTCCACAAAAGACTGGCTCACCTTTCCTCGCTCTGTTTGTTGTTGATGAAGTACCCACGTCTATATGCACAGCAGATGCCCACGGTTATCAGGGTCAGGACAGCAAGGACAACCAGAACCCCGCCAATAATCCCACCGATGTTCAGGTCATCTGGGTTAAAGGAAGATTGACAGGAGGGAGGATGCATGTTGTTCACGTGCTACACCTCCTCCCTGCCTCTAGCCTTCCCGCCCCCTCTGCCCCTCAGGTTCCTCCAGCCAGAAGAACAAAGTGAGAACACGTAAAACTCTTTCTTTCCTAGACACACAGGACACCATAACCCCTGATTTCACTTGTGAGAAGTACTGAGACCTCTATAGTTCAGATGCTGTTACAGTTACTGCTATAATAAACAGGGTCTGGCACTGCACATATGATGGGCGCAAAAATCCTCTGGCTAAATCTCTGAAAATATTATTACTGGAAGAAATGGATACACTGTAAAAACAGAATTAGGAGCCAGGAGTCTTACAGAAGAAAAATTCCTAATTTCCAGGGCTTCCCTTGGCTGTGATTAGTTGGGGAAAGAAGGCTAGTTCCCAGCAGTGACAAACAGGAGGTGAGAGTAAAACCCTCGCTGGCTGCTGGGCCTCTCATTCACAGGCCCCACCCCAGTGGAACCCTGACTCCGTTTTCTCATCTCTGGATCTCGGGCAAAGGGACTCGGTCCCGTTCAGCGTGAGAGCACTAAGGGCTGTTTCCTTCGTGCAAACAAAAATGCAATGAAAGATGTACAGGGGATGCATCGGAAGGAGGTTGTTAAAATTCCCCCTTATCTCAGTAGAGCAGCTCTCAGTATGAGGGCACATTTAAAAACTGACTGGAAATTTTGATTTTAAAATCTCAACTCCCAAGCTCCACCCCTAGAGATTCACCAGGTCCGACGCAAAGCCCAGGAAACGTCCTCCTCATTTGACAGAGGAGAAGGGTCATGGAACGCTGTCTCGCACACAGACACTTCTGACCTCCCTGGAGATGGGTCTGTTGAGTCTCAGGGTGGGTGCTGGAATCTGAATGTGAAACAGTGATCCCAAACGAGTCTCATGACCGGGAAAGTCTGGGAAACACTGCTCGGGGGTGTCTGCACGTGGGGAGGAGGGAGGGATGCGGCGAGTCCTCAGGTGTTTCTGACTGCCCCATCTGCCCCCATTCTGGCCTCGACACCTCCTCCTCCAGAAGCGATGCCGCTGAGAGGGCATCATCACAGAACAGGGGCTAAAACTCTGCTTCAGCTCACTGCAAAATGGTTACAACTGGGTCAGTTTCTGAGGACTTCACACAACCTTCTGTTTTTATCAATTACAAAGTAATGGGGTTGACTAAACTCAGTTAAAAGCTACATAATTAGCCACGTTTCCAACATCACAAGGCTCTAAAAAGTCTATTTTGAGGAGATAAACATATTGCAAGGACCACTTATTAGTCATTTAGCTATTATTCAGAGCTTCTCATCTTTCAATGTGCCCAAGTGGATTTGGGTGGATCCAGTCATCTATGGAAGAAAGCAGAAGAGTTGTCTAAACTGATGATCTGAGACTAAATTTAACATGTTCTAGCCACTTGCCAGTCTTCAGAGGAAATCTTTTCAAAAAGCAACTCACAGACTTCCATCTCCTGCTCCTCACACTTGGCTGAGCCTGCGTCGTTGGAAGCGATGCAATAATACCGGCCGGAGTCCTCCTTGTGAACAGCACTGAAATCCTGCTCCAGGAAACCGCAAGGGAACAGTGAGACCAATCAGCAGGGCAGATGTCCAAGGGCTGGGAAAGGAGACCCTGCCCTCCCCCAACCCCCTCCCACCGACCTGCTAATAAGCCCAGAACATAGTACAGTGTCTGCTCCTTGGCTCCTGGTTCCCCTTTGGCTTCCGGGTCACTGTCTGGGGTCCCTCCTGATATTCTCTCCTGACACTTGCCTGAGAGCTCTGAACAACAGATGCCCCTTGGCATATGGAGACAGCAAAGCCTAGCACCATCCAGAAGGAGAGGCAGGGCCTGACTTTCATTCAGGAGAAGGGACTCTGATAATGATTGTTCCTCAAGCGACACATTGACAACACAAACATGGAGGGTCCTATCCTACAGTCCAGCCAGCTCCCCTCTGCAGTGAGATACGGTGCAGGTCTGCAGTCCTGAGTGTCCCCGAGCCTGGTGTGAGTCCCCAGGTGCTCTGTCCCCTGTGCACGACCAATGTGCTTCCACCTCTTCCCTGACCCATCCTTTCCCACCAAGGTGTTTGGATTCTTTTGAAGCAAATTCTAGACACATTTTATCCACAGACACTTCAATAAGCATCCCTAGAAGATAGGTAATTTTTAATCATGACTACAATACCATTATCATGCCTAAAGCAACAGACAATTCCTTACTCTCAAGCATCCAGCCTATTACCCGATGTCTCCGGTTGTCTCACAAGTTTTACAGTTGGATAGTCACATCAGGACCTTTTCCTGAAGAATTTCTGACATGGGTTCTTAGCTCCCATCTTAAAAGGTTTCATTCTCTCTCCTAATAGCTGCTCTTTCCACAACAGGTTACCCTTGCCCCAGCAAAGACGTTTCTGTCCTCACCTCTCAGAAGGGATCTTACCAGAGTGCCTGTTTCAGAGCTCATGAGAAAAGAGGAGTTTTTAAATCTGGGGTTGGTCCTGGAATCTTTCGGCAAGGGCAAGTCATTGCGGTACCAGCTGTAATGTGGTGGGGGGTGGCCCTCCCGCTCCTGGCAGTACAGTGTGGCCGCCTTGCCTACAGGCACAGCCTTTGGTACTCTGCACACCGGAGGTACTGGCTTCACTGCAGGAGAAACACAGGGTGGCATTTAAAATCAGCGACACAGCTATATTGCGGGCATTGGAGCCCGCAATAAATCTGCTCCCAAAACAAGAAAGCCAGCCAAGGGATCTGCACCACTGCTACTGCCATGGTCACATGAGCCTCCAGACTGCATGAGATCTGCCACTTGAAATGTGCTCCTGTCGCTTACCCCTACACCCAGTGTAACCCACAGCTGTTCCCAAGGCCTCCACCTCCTGAGCAGCGCCTCCTACAGCTGGTGGAGGCAAGTGGCAGAAGCTTCACCTCCATCTCATCCTCCAGCACTCTCCAGCACTCTCAGGTCCCCAAGCTCTCCCTCCCTAAGTCATGTGATGCCCTCAGGGATGTGGTTATAGAGGGAAAGAAAGTAAGAGCTGATCTTTGTTTTCTTCTATATACAGGTTCACAAGGCCTGAAAGGGGAACCTACTTTAACTTCATATGAGCCCCTACCTTGCACAGTTAATTCAATGACAATCTCATCCATCTCTTTGCGGTCATTTCGAGCCACCACCTCACAGCGGTAAAGAGCTGAGTCTGTTCGGGTCACATTCCAGATCTTCAGAGAGGTTTGCCCAAATAGTTCTGCACGACCTGCCAAATCACCTACAGAAAAGAAGACACAGTAAAGATGTCTTTGCCACTTGCAGAAGGTGGTTTCTGGGGCCGGCACTTGGTGCCACAGTAAGACAACTGCAGGTTGGCTTCCATCTCTGTCCCTTGGTAATGGAGGTGAGCTCCCTGATGACATTGAGCACCGAAACAGTGCCTGTGTGTCGAGGACCCGTTCCATGTGTCTGTTTTTAAGGCAGGGACTCATTTCCTTCTCATCGTCCTCAGCAGGGGATTCCCACTAAAAGGAAAGACAACAAACCAATGCCATTAAATAAACCCCCAGCATGCCGCAGATGGCGCTGCAACAAATGGGTCTCCCATGCGAAAGAATGAAGCCGGAACCCTACCTCACACCACAGACACCACAGACCTTAATGAAACTCAGAGTCTGTGAGACTCGTAGGAAAAATGCAGACATAAATCGTCATGACCTTGGATGGGCAATGATTTGTTAGATATGACACCAGAGGAACATGCAGCTCTCTCTCACACACACAGTTACATTTACCTTCACTGGACTTGCATAAAAATAAAGACTTCTGTGCTTCAAAGGACACAGCAAGTGAAAACACAATTTACTGAATGGGAGAAAATATTTACAAATGATGTATCTAACAAAGGACTAGTATCCTGAATACAGGCCTACTTTGAAGACACCACAATAAAGCAAGTAACACAAAAAAGTAAGTTTTAATCTTTTTGTTGGTGGAGGGTCTTGCCTTCAACTGGTTAAAAGACACAACCACCTGTAAAGCACCATAAGGTGAAGAGCAATAAAACGAAGCACCAGTAATAAAGAACTTGTAAGTCAACAATAAATAGACAAATAACCTAATTAAAAAAGACAAAGGATTTGAATAGACATTTTTCAGAAGATCTGCAAATGGCCAATAAGTACATGAAAAGACACTCAACACCTTCAGTCATCAGGGAAATGTAAATCAAAGCCACAGTGAGATACTGCTTCACACCCTCTAGGACGGCTAGAATCAACATGATGGGCAATTACAAGTGTTTGTGAGGATGTAGAGAAATAAACTGCTGAAGGAATATAAAATGGTACAGCAATTTGGAAAACAGTTTGGCAGTTTCTTAACACACACACACACACACACACACACAACTATACAGGCAACTACTATATGACCTAGCAATTGTCCTCGTGGTCATTTATCCCCAAGAAATGATGTGCACACAAAAATCTGTAAATAAATGCATTGTTGATAACAGCCAAAAGGTGAAAATAACCCAAATGTCCATGACCTGATGAAACAATAAAATATTATTGATCCCTATTTTATAAAAGGAAGTACAGACATGCTACAACATGGATGAGCCTTGGAAACAGCATGCTCAGTGGAAGATGCCATTCACAAAGGGCACATGGTGTGTGACTCCATCTCCATGAGGCATCCAGAGCAGGCAACCCCGTCAGGAAAAAGTAGATTAGTGCCCTTGGAAAAGGCAGGGGGTGGGGGGGTGGAACAGTAGAGGGGATGGGGAGTGACTGACTACTGATGGATATAGGGGTTTTTTAGGGGGGCAAACAGAAGTGTTCCGGAATTTGACAGTAATGACAGTTCATGTCTTTGCTGAAAATACACTTTTAAAAAGTGAGTTCTATGCTGTTTGAACATCTCAGTTTTGAAAGAAGCATGAAGAAGCTTAAGAATGACAACTAAGGGAAGGAGTTATGGCATAAAAAAGGGGGGAAATGACACAAAAAAGTAGAAACTAACTATTACTAAACCCGCTATTTCGTGAAAAGAATTTATGACAATATGGTACAAACAGCAGTCTTAGGACAGAGGACAAACAATTCCTGAGGCATTTTCTAATAGGAAGGTCTGCTATCCAGCGGCCATTAGTGAGGACTGGAACTCACACCATACAAGAAAATGCTGGACGAGAGCTGATCGGGAGGCTTGCAGTGCAGCCCTGTGTTGAGAAAAAGACCATGCAGACTGAAGTTTCCCTCCAGCCCTCATACCCTGTGTGCTGAATAGTCTCTCCATCCTATGGGCTAAGTGGAAGGTGTTTAATTCCCAGAAACAGGAAGTGTCTGTGGAAAATTCCCATTTGGTTTCTTGAATGATAAAAACTGCATGAACAAGGCTTATCAGGAGCAGCTAAGTTGCCAGAGAAAACGGATTTGTTTTCTGAGAATAACATTTCTATCTTCAAAAACAAGGGGTAAGGGCCGATGTTGGTGGGAAAGCAAAACCCTTTTAAGAGCCTGTAACCCTAGATGATATTGAGGACCCAAAGCAGAAAGACCATGAATGCAAGCTGTTTACACAAAATCCCTTTCCCATCTCCGAAACCTCAACTGCCTGATTTTCTGAGAACTCTGAACCAGCCCACTTACAACTCACCTGCACGAGTGCCTCACACTGGCTCCTTCCCTCCTGCCCAACTGGAGGTCCTGTCCCACTTCCGGGTCTCTGGTGGCTCCTCCTCTCCCTCCCTCATAACATCTAACTCCCAGTAACACCTCCGCCTCCGCCTCCGCCTCTGCTTTCCTCTGTTCATCTTGCTCTCCACAGCTTCGACCTCCTCCTCAGCTCAGGCCACCAGCAGCTCCCTCCTGGATCCCACAAAAGAATGCTGAATTGCTGCCCTGCCCCAGGGTTTGCCCTTCTCCAATCTCTTCAAAGTGGCCGACTGGTCATTCTAGGGCATAAATGCAATCGAAGCCACTCTTGCCTTTGAATCTGTCCACGGGCCCTCAGGAGCCTGTCCCTCCTCACCAGGGTGCATTGCCTGGCCCTGGCGCCCCTCTGAACGGAGCCCCCCCTTATCTAAGCCCCGGCTGTGGGGGAGCCCATGCTGTGTCTCTAATAGCCAAGCTGCCATTTGCAGCTATATCTTTATACACAATCTTCTTTCCTTGCACAACCCATTTTTTCACTCCATGCCTCACCACCTGGCCCGGCTATCTAGCCTTTCCTCGCACGTCTGCCTGAAGGTCAGTCACTTCTGGGAAGCCTTTCATGGCCACCTGTCCTGTGCCTACTTCCTGTAACCCCACAGGATAACTTCCTGCGAAGCAGTCCACAGGTGCTTTCTCTGTATGGTACACTTGCACCCAATAAACACTCGTCAAACATGAATGCTTGTCTCCTTGCTATTCCACACGATCCTTCAGATTAACTCACATCACTAACGTCACGGGTCATGTAAAAAGACAGCCCAGGAAAATGTTCACTCTGACACTTCACAGAGATGTTTTGCAGAGAGATTAAAGTCCTAATAAGTTGGTATTTGTTGAAGCTGGGTGACAGGGTCAGGCAGGTTCAATATGCTATTCTCAATACCTTTACAGGTTCAAATTTTCCATAAGTAAAGCAAAACAAAACAAAAAACCAGTCGGGCTATGGAGGCCAGACCAGCTGGAGGAAAGAAAGTCTCTAGCCCCAAGGGCGTGCCTGAGCCTTGTAGACAAAGGAGCTTACCCTGAATTTTGTTGTCAAAAAACACGTATGTGGTTTGGGCATCTTGAATTTTCTTCCATTCGATCCTGGGGTTATGTGTCTGTGAATCTGTAATGATACAAGACAGCTCCACACCTAAGGAGCAAAGAAAAAAAAAAAAGAATTCTCAGGGCACGTGGAATGATTTCAGGTTCCTTGTATACCCAGACCACTCGAGCTGTCTGCAGTTTTAGAGAGGCCTTTCATGCAGATTAAAAACCCAGCCATCTCCAGGCTCCAAGAGGCTTTAAGGAGATTGATTTTAGCCAGAAAAGGCATAAAGATGATCAGCAAGAACCCCTACTAAACAGAGAAGACATTCCCCCTCACACTCCGCCTGTGTGTAGGAATTCCTCTCGTGTAAGTACAAAGCCGGGACAGGAGCCAGACCTGGGCCACTCCAACCCCTGCAGAGGTCCCCAGAGCAGCCGAAGCAGGGCTTCCCTGGCTTGCCTGCACAGCAAACACATTGGTGAGCCACCACCCGCCAGAACATCTCTCTGGCACTACACATATGTGCATGTTTGTTCTGAGTTGGCTGCAAGACTGAAGAATGTCCATTAGATGGTGCCCATTCTCCTCATACACAGTCTCCCTGGTACTTACTTTCAAATTCTGGTACCACGGGGTTTCGGTTGCTGGATTTGAGATTCACAGCTCCTATCAAGCAGCCTGAAAGGAAAAAAATAAGTAAAATCAGAGACAATGTGACTCTGAAACAGCAAAGTCCGATCTTCGGACTGAGATCAGATTTTCCCCTTCTACGTAGCTTTAATCACTAACCACAAAGGGCAGAAATATATAGTATTCTGAAACAAAGACCCCTGGATACAGCAAGTAGACTGCTTTGTCTCTCAGTCTGACCTTCACTGGAAAAAATGAAGAGAAAGAGAAGAATTCAGAGAATTCACATTCCTTCTCCGTCCCAGACGCAGCGCCTGAGGCTTTAAAGACCTTTCCTCTGAGAGCTTCCTTCTTGCTTAGAGTCGTTGCTAATTCTTTCAATCGTCCAGACCCCAACAGGCGCCTTCTTGTCATCGCCCCACCCCCTCCCCGCTTCTCCACCTCCTCTAGGCCTCGAATCTGGCAAAGGCACTGGGCAGATTCAACATGGCCCAAACCCTTGGCCTGGTGCTGGGCGTCAACACTCTCTGCCTACGGTCATCAGCCACGTTGTCAGAGACCCCTCCTTCCTGTGTTAGACTCACATCCAACCCAGGAGTCCTCTCCATTAAGCCGTTTCCACCAGGCTTGAACAAAGGGGGAAGTATAATAACAGAGGGGCGGCATTGTAAAGCTAAGCTGAATGACACTACTGACAAAATCAAAACTCGTAAGGTAACCCCTTTCGGAACTGGCATCTGGACCTCTCTGTGCTTCAACAAACATTAGAAACCGCTCTTCATGGTCTCGACGTGTCCCAGCCGATTTTCTCAGAGAACATCAAGTAGGCACACTGGTCACCCACAAAATGTCACTCTTCAGGCACTCGGTACATGCCTCCCCCAGAGAAGGTCTTTGTACATAAAATTCGTAACAAGGTCTGCGGGTCTTCATGGACAGTATCAGAGAAAGAAAATGTACAGAAAGACCTACACTCTAAGACAATGTTTTCAACCTTTTTCATCTCATGGCACACATAAACTAATTAGTAAAATTCTGCGGTATCCCCAAAATATATTTTTTACTGATCTGACAAAAAAATGGGTATAATTTTGATCATGCACACTGGATGGCTCTTGCTGTGTTGTCTTTTGTCATTTTTTATTTGACAATCTGAGAGAAGAGAGGTCAATGCCCCTCACTAAATAGGTGCTGTGTGTTGTAAAAATTCTTGCAGGCCACCAACTGAAAGTCACTGCTATAAGGGGCTTTCTAATTCCTTTTACATTAAGTGGACTACAGGTCACAACAATCCATTCTTTTCCTTTTTTCAATCATATTTAGTGGTTCAGCTACATCTATACATCCCAGCACACATTTTGATCCTTTCTTTATTTAGTAAGTATTCAATAATTATAACAAAAACTCTAAAGAATAAAAAAAAATCAGAAGTATAATATATCTGAGTTGCTATTAGTTTGCCCTTCTTGCCCTGACTGGTGTAGCTCAGTGGGTTGGGCATCATCCTGCAAACTGAAAAGTTGCTGGTTCAATTCCCTGTCACGGCACATGCCTGGGTTGTAGGTTCAGTCCCCAGTCGGGGGCGTGTGAGAGGCAACCGATTAATGTTTCGCTCACATGTCAGTGTTTCTCTCCCTCTGTTTCTCCCTCTCTTCCCAGCTCTCTAAAAATAAAATAAAACACTCCATTCTCCAAAAGGCTGTAGAACAGCATAAGTTAATGTTATTTTGTTTTGTTCACCACGAGCATGTACAGCACTTTATACTTCCCACTCAGTCTGAAAGCTCCCACTGACCCATGAGTAGAGACTAATCTATGATGTCCTGAGTGTCTACCAAGGCCACACAAGTTCCTTTTGAGGAAAGTGACTACAGACATTTATATAAAACCACTGTAATTTAGATGGTGAGACCCTGAAGCTCTGGCTACAAATGACCATGACCAGGGACCATCTTCTGACCCAAAGGCTATCAAAAGGGACTTAGTGTAACACATGAGAACTTTGCCCAACTGGACAACCCTATCTGATCCTTTCTTTTAGGAGGTATGAAGCTATCCCTGGCTGGTGTGCTTCAATTGAGTGCTGGCCTGCGAACTAAAGGTCATGGGTTCAATTCCCAGTCAGGGCATATGCCCGGGTTTTGGGCCAGGTTCCCAATAGGGGATGCACAAGAGGCAACCACAGATGGATGTTTTTCTCCCTCTCTTCCTCCCTCTAAAAATAAATAAATAAAACCTTTTTGTAAAAAAAGTATGAAGCTAAAAGAAGTGAATGAATGAATGAATTAGAGAGTTTATATAGTTACCAGAAAAACAGAGTAGGAGTAAAAAGAGATAGGCTGACTCATCCAAATGGTACAAACACTAGAGTTGGTAACATGAACCAGAGCACAAAAAAGATAACAGCAAAGTGAATCTAGTGGCTCCACCAAATCTCCACCAAGCCAACTAAGACAGATTTTTTAAAAGATTTTATTTATTATTTTTAGAGAGGGAAGGGAGGAAGAAAGAGAGAGAGAGAGAGAGAGAGAGAGAGAGAGACATCAATGTGCAGTTGCTGGGGGCTGTGGCCTGCAACCCAGGCATGTGCCCTGACTGGGAATTGAACCTGAGACACTTTGGTTCACAACCCGCGCTCAATCCACGGAGCTACACCAGCCAGGGCAAGACAGATTCTTTACAATAAATCTCTCAGGTAAACTGAGCAATTTTGCTTCTTATAACCAAAAAGCAGCTCTGGTAACACAGCCCCAGATAATGGAAATAATCGTCCCTCTTATCCCTCTCACTGCAGCTGCAGTGAATGCTCTGTACTCCTTAAAGAACGTCTGCCCTAACCTCTTCCTGCCCACCTCCCCAAGATGAGTGTCACAGGCACCTGCTCAGACCAGTCCTGGAAGACAGTGTGTCCCAAAAAGATTCAAGAACAGAGGACCACAACGAGCAAGTGAAGTTCTAGCTCAAGCGATTATTTACAGCTGCTGGGTCCTTGGTGTGATGGGTCCCAAGCTGAGAGTCCCTCCTTGGAATTCTCATTCTTTCCCTAAACAATTCCTATGTTTGTAAATATCCTACACAGGCGAACCTCAGAGATACTATGGGTTCAGTTCCAGATCACCACAATGAGGCCAACACTGCAACAAAGCACATTACATGAATTCGGTGGTCTCCCAGTGCATATGAAAGTCATGTTTATACTATACTGTAATGTACTAGGTGTGCAATAGCAATATGTCTAAAATATATACATACCTCAACTAACAAATACTTTATTGCTAAAGAGTGCTGCCATCATCTGAGCCTTCGGTGTCTTGTAATATTTTTGCTGCTAGAGGGCCTCAGTGCTGACGGCTGCTGACCAACCAGGGCGGTAGCTGTTGAAGGCTGGGGCAGCTGCGGCAATTCCTTAAAAGAAGACCACAGTGAAATTTGCCACACTGACTCTTCCTTTCAGGAAAAATGTGTCTGTAGCCTGCGGCGCTGTTGGACTGCCTTTAACCAAAGAACTTCTGTCAAGATGGGAGTCAACCCTCTACAACCTTGTTGCTGCTTCGTCAACGATGTTTATATAATACTCTATAAAAATCCTTTATCATTTCAACAGTCTCCACAGAATCGTCATCAGGAGTAGATTCCATCTTGAGAAACCTCTACTTTCCTCACTCGTAAGAAGCAAGTCCTCACGGTTGAAGTTCAATCACGAAGTTGCAGCCATGCCGACCCCTCTTCAGGCTTCTAATTCTAGTTCTCTTGCTATCCCCACCACATCTGCCGTTAGTTCCTCCACTGCAGTCTTGAACCCCTCCAAGTCATCCACATCGCCAGCAGCATCTAGAATCGTGAATCCTTCCCAGGAGGGTTTTGACTTACTTTGCCCAGATCCACCAGAGGGATCACTGTCTACCACAGCTGTAGCCTTACACAATGTAGTTCTCAAATATAATAAGACTTCAAAGGCAAAACTAATTACTCCTTGACCCATGGGCCACAGAATGGATGTTTCGGCAGGCAAGAAAACTTCAGTCTCACTGTACATCTCCATCAGAGCTCTGGGGTGACCAAGTGCACTGCCAATGAGCAGGAATATTTCGAAAGGAATCTTACTTTCTGAGCAGTAGGTCTCAACAGCAGGCTTAAAATATTCAGTAAACCACACTGCAAGCAGACATGCTGTCATGTGGGCTTGGCTGTTCCATCTGTGGAGCACAGGCGGAGCAGGTCTGGCCTCATTCTTCAGGATCCCAGAACATTTAGATTGGACCGCTGCCTTCAGGTAGAGTCCTCAGCTGTGTAGGCACTGGCAAGAGAGTCAGACTGTCCTTTGAAACTTTGAAGACAGGCACTGGCCTCTCCAGCTATGGAAGTCCAGGATGGCATCTTCTGCAATCTAGAAGTGTTTCTTCTACACTGAAAACCCGTTGTTCAGGGCAGCCACCTTCGTGAACTGTCTTAGCCCCATCTCTGGAACACTCGCTGCTTCACACTGCATTCCATGTTCTGGACATGGCTCTTTCCTTAAACCTCACGAACCAACCTCTGCTGGCTTCAGACTTTCTCCTGCAGCCTCCTCACCTCTCTCAGCCTTTGTGGAATTAGCACTTTCAATTTCCTTCAAGAATGTGTCCTTTGTGTTCACAACCTTGCTGTTTGGTACAAGAGGCTTCGGCCTTTCGCAGTTTTCGATGTGCCTTCCTCACTAAGCTTAGTCACTTCTAGCTTTTGATCTGAGAGACACGTGACTCTTCCTTTCACTTGAACACTTAGAGCCCACTGTAGGGTTATTAATCAGCCTAATATTAATGTTGCCATGATTCAGGAAACAGGGAGGCCCAAGGAGACAGAGAGCAGGAAGGTCCAGCTGGTGCAGCAGTCAGAACACACACATTTATTAAGTCTGTCGTCTTACATGGGTACAGTGCAAGGTGCGCCCCCCCCCAATTCTAGTAGTAACATCAAAGATTACTGATCACCATACCATATGCAATAATAATGAGCATGTGTAGAATAATATGAGAATTAGCAAACTTTGCTAGACAGAGACACAATGT